TCAATGGGTCACAGGCTTGATGCAGTTATTGAAAGCAAAGGATTTGCAACTAAATATTAAGTCTCATTCACTTTAATCTATTTTAAGTTTATATGTTCCAATACTTTTGCTCACCTAAAAATTTTGTGTTCCGTTACAAATAATGCTATCTTCTAAGTTGTGTATCAGATCCAGATGTAAATACCTGGAAATAAAAGCTGAAATGTTGATCTCTTGTCTCATATTCATCTTTTGATGTCAAACCCAAATGTTTTCAGTCTACAGCAAAAGTAAACGAATTGGCCTCACTGTTCCAATACTTTTGGAGGGCACTGTATGGCCACTAGTATTAGATTCCTTAGTGTCCGTCACCACTGCTACTTTTTAGCTACACTTTAATACTACAGTTCAGGTATTAATGTTGAATTTTCATCAGGTGACGTTACTGCACTGTTTCATATTTGTAAGAACAGGCAATAAAGATGTTGATTTTCAATGTCATAAAATATACATTAATAACAGAAAAAGATTATATGGGTGGTTTTTTTTGTGTGTGTTTTTTTTTAATCAAATTTGATAGATTGTTGTCGTTTTTATTACCTCCGCCAAGGAGGTTATGTTTTCACGGCATTGGTCTGTTTGTTTGTTTGTCTGCAAAATAACTCAAAGTTATGAACGGATTTTGATGAAATTTTGGTGGTGATCGGTTGAGGCAAAGTGGATAAAATAATAAATAAAGTCTATGGTCTGACAGCCTCAGCAGCAATTAAGACGGTGAAAATACCGCCATCTGGTGGCCGGAAAGCACGTCTTGTTCTACTTGCTAAATATTGTAAGTCTAAAGTTGAAATTAATGTTCTGTTTTGGAAAAAAGAAAGCGAAAAATACAAAAAAACATATTATATTCTGTGTTGGTACAAAATAAAAACGAAATAAATACACCACAGTGTTTCCATGGTGAAGGCATATATGTAAGGGATAATGTATAATGAGCCGGTGAATACTGGGAAAATAACTCCTGACGGGAATATAACCCCGACGCGCAGCGGAGTCGGCTCATTATACATTATCCCGCTCATTATACATTATCCCGCTCATTATACATTATCCCGCTTATTACACGGCTAATTATCAGTTAAATAAATAATGTTGTGCATGCATGAAGTGCATTAAAACCGACCGGATTCGACAACTTTTGGTGAAAGTTTTGTTCTCACCCAGGCTTAGTGGACTGAACCGAGGCATAAAACTAGCATAAAATGTCATTAAACATGACTGCCGAGTGTGTATTCAAAATCGTGTTCTTTTGTTTTTGACAGAGAAAGTCCATCAGTATAGTTGTAGTAGTAGTACAGTACAATATAGTACAGTAGCCCATTTTGTTGTCTTTTTTGTATTTATCTCATTTTTCTCCTCCTCTATCACTTGAAGCTCTTCAGGTGTCAGTTCCTTGTGCCATTTTTCGCTGGATTTTTTTCTTTCCTTCTCCATTTCTTTGTCTTCAGTGGCATCCCATTCCTCAAAATCCTTGTAGCTACTTTCCAAATAAGTTAAAAGAAATGTTAAAATCAGCCATTTCTGTTTGTCTTGTCCCTCGGAAGTTGTTTGACAGCTGCAGTGTTGCAGGGCAGCGTCGCTAGCAACGCTGAGCTACATAGCAACTGTCTAATGACCGTTGCTACTAGCAATGGTCATTACACAGTAATATCAGACCGCTGAATGCCACAACTGATCAATCAGAGTACAGCATTTATTACAGCTGTGTAATAAAACCTAATAATGATAGTGATGCAAATAACCTAATTCTGATGCAGGCTGGAAAATCTGATGCAGAGGGGGAGGGAATATCACTTACTTGGCGGAGGTCTGCACTCTCTGAGTGCTTTTCTACTTAAAGGTGTTTTTGCTCTTCAACAGAAACCACAGAACTTGAGAGGCCATGGAGGACTATAAACTGGGAATCTCAGTAAGATGGATAGAGCCACCAACCCTCACGTTAGCATGCTTTACTATAGGACAATATACTGTGTACAGCATGCCAAAATGGATTTCACATGACATGACGTGATGATGCTATGCTTCGCTGAACAAGCTACACCAGCTATTTTAGATTCTAATAGACTTAGTGTCTATGGAAAATATTATGTGATCAAATTGCTTGCCATGCTTATACAGTTTTAAATTGTACAATTCTTTACTAACTGTCATAAATTTACCCGCAACCATGAAAGCATCACAGAGGTAAACTGGCTGTACATAAAATGTCTTCTGAACAACCAGGATTAAACAACTTTATCACAAGATGAGAACATTTCTTTTCTTGTTTCTATAGGAACAAGAAGGAGCTGATGGAGAGTATTAAAATGTACAAACCCACAGTCAGCTCTGTGTCCCAGGCTCGGGTTCTGCTCATTGGACCAGTTGGAGCTGGAAAGTCCAGTTTCTTCAATTCTATCAACTCTGTATTCAGAGGCCACGTCACCAGTCAGGCCATCGCTGGCTCCTCTACCACCAGCCTCACAACACAGGTTATTTCCTGCCTCTTAATGGTTTACATTTGTGGTGACTGATTTCAAAATGAAAATCCTGTCCTTGTGTTGCTCCATTTTGTTCTCTCTTTGTTCTCTGCAGTTTCGCACCTTCTCAGTGAAAGCTGGGCGAGAAGGGAAAACTCTGCCAATCATCTTGTGTGATACCATGGGACTGGAGGAAAGCAGAGCGGCGGGGCTTGAGATCGATGACATCAGCAGCATCCTTAAAGGTCATCTGCCAGACCGTTACCAGGTGCAGCTTTTTGTTACAATGAACAGGATATTAAATGTATGATTCATTGATTTGGATGTAGTTCACTCAAACTGTCTGTGTTTCCCCTCATCTGCATTACTCAGTTCAACCCCTCTGCTCCTCTGAATTCGGAGGCCCACGGCTATCGTAAGTCTCCAAGGCTCAAGGACAAGATCCACTGTGTGGTCTATGTCGTTGATGCCTGCAAGGTCTCAATCATGCCCACAAAATTGGAGGAGAAGCTGGATGCTGTCCGCAGAAAGGTCAACTTAATGGGTCAGTAAAAATGAGTCCCTCTTCATTATAATGAAGACATACAGTATATATACAGCACACTCTCTCTGAATGTCAACATAGTACAATACAGTACATACTGTAGACAAACAAGGGGCCCCATAAGGTGACAATGTAATTTAAATTAATTCAACATGTTTCTTTGACTATATTGTTAATACATTTTTATAAATAAAAGGAAGAAAAGTTATGGCCAAGACAGGGGATTACTTTGCTGCTGCTCTCCCTGCCTTAAGCTTTCCATATAAGCGCATAGAAGGGCAGAGAGGTTTGCTCTCTCTGCCTCAAGCTTTCTTCATTTGCATGTGGAAGGGCAGAGAGGTGTGCTCTCTCTGCCAAATAACAAAGTTATTTCAGTCAGGACCACTTTAGTCAAAGAAAACTTTATTTCCATTTGCAGTATTATATTTGGCGGTATGGCATCTGTTCTGGGGCCCATCACCGTCAAATATAATACTGCAAATGGAAATAAACTTTTAAAGTGTTCCTGACTGAAATAACTTTGTGTCATAATTGCTGAAACTGTCACTACACTCTAAAAGAAATACATGAGATAAATAATCTGGAAAAAAAAAATCATGCCCCCATCCCTTCAACTGCCTCTGATGGCATACGCTAGAATCGTGGCACACCCAAAACAACCAATCAGAGCTGAGGATTCTCTAATGCATGTCCGTCACTCAGTGAACCGCAATCAAACTGTCAAGCTAGGCTGCACTGATCAGATATGAATCACGATTCTGCCTCAGATGGGTTCAGCTGTCAAATTAGAAAGTTTTTGACCTGGCTGCCATGTTGGATACAGATAAACAGAGTACCAAGCACCTCCCAACAGCTGGACCGGTCTCTCATTTTACAGCTAAACAATGCACTAAAATATGTTTCTGAAAACATTTGAGGTGATAAATAAGCAATACAGTAACAGAATCTTGATTCATATTTCATCAGCGCTGCCTAGTTTGACAGTTTGACCTCAGTTTATGAACAATGACTGGCATGACTGATAGCTGCGTTAGAGACCTTTCGACTCTCATTGGTTGTTTTTGTTCACATGCAGTAAGGCCATTAGAAGCGATACATGGCAATAGAGTGGGCAGAGGAATATGATTTTTGTCAAAGATTATCTGCGTCATTTAGTGATGTTTGAATACAATGACAGTTTCAGCAAATATAGAAAAATTATATGACTATATATTTTTCTAAAAGGAACAAACTATAGTTTTAAGTTTATTAAAATCATGAGGATTTAAACTTCATATAGAAACAGCTGAAGTATGAAATATATGCACTGTGTAGTGTCCTCAAACATTTTCCAAATGGAGCGGAACAATGTTCCTCTGTTCCTAACAATCCCCAAAGAAATACTGCATATTTTATGAATGTGAAATCAAGTCACGTGGCAAGGCAAAAAGGCGATTAGTTACTGTCCGAAATCTCAATTTATTGCTTACTGGAGAGTTAATGACTCCACCCATTTTGAAAGTTATCACTCAGTTAAATGGTGTAATCAACCTCATAGATATGGGTCAGCAGGTTCCTGCTTCGCACACGTGTAGGTTAAGGATCCATTATCAGACCAGGAGCAGTTTTTTTTTGTATATAACTAATGTAATGTATGAATGTAACATATCTCACTTACCTCACATAGTCAAAGCAACTCAATGCTGATTTTGGTTTCATACAGGACACAAACCCTGGTCACCTGAGTGAAAGTCCTGTGTTTGTTTGACACCTCAACATGCAGACAGTCTCGTTCTTCATACTAACATCACCTCACTAACATTGCCATTACACCACCTGACCTCCTCCATAGCTGTGTAACAATACACACAAACATTTAATCATTGGTGATTTGAACACACTAGTCAATGTAGCAGGACCCTTTTAACCCATATCTAAGAAAATTCAGTTCAAGAAAAACATATAAATTTTATTTTAGAACTGTCCTTAAGTTATAGAGGAGGCATTTAAATTACAACCAAATATTTTAGAATATTTCAGAAGCATTGTGTCAATATTTACAGCCTGATACCTGTAGAGCTACAGTGTTTTTAAAATGTTCTTTCTGCTCTGTTTTCAGGAATTCCTCAGCTGGTCCTGCTCACTAAAGTAGATGAAGCCTGCCCTTTGGTGAAAGAGGACGTGAAAAACATTTACAAGAGTGGCTACATCAAGGAAATAGTGAGGATTTCATATTCAAAAGGATTTGATGATTTTATACAGAAGAAAAAAATGCAAGAGGATTTGTTGTACTGTAGAGTTGTGGTGTGTGTTTATTTATTAGTCAAAGGAAAGATTTAAGCTAACAAGCTAGTCAAAGTCTGTTTTATTTGCTTTAGTGTGTTATCTAATTCAGACTGATTCAATGTACTTGACTGGTGAAGTACTGAAGATGTTTTAACGCCATTTTGAAGTCATTTTCCTCCTCCTCCTCACGTCAGGAACTTAAAGGACCTAAAATTATTTGGTAAATCAGACTCACATCTATTAAAGTACTTGAGTAAAAATACATGAGTGAGGTGGCAGGTAATAAAACCAATATGTATAAGATTTAAGAGACATTTGACTTTTGAGTTTTTCCTGAATTTCTCTCATGTAAATGTTTTGTGATCCAGATGCAGGAGGTCAGCGCTCAGCTCGGTGTGCCAGTGTCCTGTGTTGTGCCAGTGAAGAACTACTGCGAGGAGCTGGAGTTGGACCTGAGCTGCGACGTCCTGCTGCTCAGTGCTGTCATGCAGATGCTTCGCTTCGCAGACAATTACTTTGATGATATCAGTGACCAACTCAGCAACACCGAAGTCAAGGAATAGGAAGTACCTGTGCAGCAGATGTTTATATCTTGTCCAACTGTAATGAAATGTCCATCACAATAATCCATCCATTTACCTGCAGGTGATGCTGCATTGTAGAGTTCACTGTGAATTTCCTCCCCTGAGTTCTCCAAGCACCCCTTGGAATGCTGGGAGATGTAGTGCCTCCAGAATAACCTCATTTTGACCGTGTCCCTCAGCTGTGAAATGTTCAATTTCCTTTCTGATCTGGCTGTAAATTCTTTACATTGTTATAAAATTGTTACATTATATATATTACAAATTATTATTTTTACATTAGAGGTTCAAATACTGTAATTTATTTGATATAACTCACATATTTAAAAGTTGTTATCACAGTGTCAGCCGATTTACTGGGACATTTCATCACAAGTTTGACAAGCTAAGACATTATCAGATATTACTGCAAGTATTAAAATATATTATTTTCTGCATGATGACGTTATTCACTTTTGCTTCATTATCTTTGTGTCATGTTACTGAAGCTGAAGTCACAGTCAGCTGGTTCAGAGCAGTTTATCAGAGCTCATCTGCATTGCTTCCTTAAGTCTGATTTGTGTTCAGCTGCTAGGTGCACACATGGTGCTGTGCAATGCAGTGAAAACAATAAATAAATAAATAAAATTGTCAGTCATGGATGATTGAAATGGAGATCACTTGGCTTTAATTCAGTTGGAGCTGATAGTACTCTATGTATTTTGGTGTTTTGACATATGGTAATTTTTCATGAGACTTGTTTTTTTTGTAATTTCCAGTTTGATTTTCCAGGTTCCTCATGAATATTTTATGTTTTTGTCAAGAAACAACTTTCTAGTCTCTCAGATGTTCCTTCTATCAGATATAATCATGCTTATTGTTATGTTGCATGACATATTTAGCCTGTGCTTTGAGTTGTAAACTCACTGATATTAAAAGCTCTTGCTGGCCAGACTGGATGTGGTGTTGAATTTGGAAACTTAGAAAATCTTCCTATGATCAAGATCATTAATGATTCCTAAATTAATTAATAATATAAAGTATTCTGCATTGCCATAGAAGTTCAGCGTGGATGAATGGATAGAAAGCTCAAATTTACTAACACAGGTCAGACAGTTACTGTACAGCAAACACCAAGTAGCTCACCTGGTAGAGCAGGTGCCCCATTTACAAAGGCTACGTCCTTGCCACAGTGGCCCTATGCCCTTTGCTGCATGTCATCCCGTGTGGCTCCCCCTTTGACTAAAAAATAACCTTAAAAAAGCAACACTGGGGCTATTAAATGTTAAAACCGGCCGGACTCGGTTAAAATCTGGTTTTCAGCAGGTTCCTGTTCTGCAGCAAAAAAATCACACTTCACACTAAAAGTGTGGAAAAATATTATGTCTGTCTTGTGTTGTGACATTGAAGTAAAGCATGTAGTTCCCAAACTTCAGGGCGTAGTAAGATGAGAGTGCAGTGGTGAGTCCGAGGGGGAAAGGTGTCATGACTCTTGTTGGCTCTGTTGTAAAGTCTTGCTTTTAATTCACTGGTTTCCTTTGCGGTGAGGGACCAAATTGGGAGACAGGAGAATAATGTAGAGAGAATGATTGCATGTAGGTTACACTCACACTCACCACCTACTTTTGCATCATTGCAATAAACTGAACTGCACTGGGTCATAAACTGGCAGGTGTCCTTTCAGTGACAATAATCATTAGTTAAGAAAAAAAAACAAGCGTGCTCAGGATAAAAAAAAACACTAATCTAAAAGTTTGAAACTGTAATTATTTTTATATTAAATAATTTAAATATAATGTGAAGCTCATAAACTGACTCCTGAGTGCATCATCTGCACTTTGGATCACACTTAACTGTATATTTTGTATACATTGTCCTACTCTTCATATATTTAATCTTATCTTATCTTATCTTATCTTATCTTATCTTCTGAACTAATTATAAGCATGGTTTAGCTTACTGTAAAATGTAGGCATGTGAGCAGGCAGGAAAAGTACAGGAGTCATGGTGGTTTCTTCTTCAAAGAAACCAACAAAGATACAAAGCTGTTCATAGTCTTGTAAATATGTAATAAATTGTTAATGAATCCATCATAGTGCAGTTTATATCTTTAAGGTTACATTATGATTCATTTTCATTCTCCAAGAATTATATTTCTATCAATACAATTCAGTTTTCCATTGAAAGATGATAACAGTGAGTCTTGTTGTCTGTCTGGAACCATTTTTTTTAACCACAGCTTTGTTTCATAGGGAACTCTGGATTTTTTATTTCACCTCACTAATTTCATTTCCTTAGGGGGGCTCAATCAGCTCCTGATGTATCTGCGAGTCCATGAAGTCCAACGGGGCCTGAAGAAGACCACATAAAAAGATCTTACACAGCATATGGAAATACCTGTAAGAAGAACAAGATGATGTAAACAGACTGTAAACAGACAGGTGGCTTCAGTTTATCAACCCAGGTTACTATTACACAGCACTGTTACATGTTATCTGAATGGTTGTGTTTACAAATGGATCTCTGGTCCCTGCTGTTCCACTGAGGTCTTCACATGGCAACAGGATTGGAGTCAGAGGTGCAGGTTGCTGCAGGAGGGTGGAGATGGAACTACAATTGTTGCAAGAATCTGCAGGTGGAGGCATCTGTGAGGGACTCTGTTTAGTCTGTTGGAGATACTTTGACAACAGCCATCTGCCAGAATCTGCAGGTGGAGGTGGAGGTGCAGGTTGAATGAATGTAAAGGGGACAACAGTGGATAAAGTGCTTTAAATTTTGAGTAGTGCATTCAAACATGAAATCCATGCAACACTTCTACCTTTGGGCAGTTTCCTCAGAGGTTTGTGATTCCTTTTAAGTGGAGGATACCAGTTTTACAAAGGTATTAGGTATTTGGTTGATCCTCAAATTGTTGTGCAACTCATGACATGTTGTTAAATTTAGTTTACATGCTCAGTACATACACTTTCATTTGTCTCACACATTCATTTCAGGGGATGACACTGAGTTTGAAACACAGTTTTCAGGGACTGATGAGGGACGACAGGCTGTTCATAGAGAGGGAAAGTGTGAAGGTAGACTGACTGTGTTGGTGAACATGAGATGAAGACGTCACAGCAGAGATATAAAGAGGAGTATTTCAACATGCCCAAAGACATATGTGTATTTTAGAGCAAATACCAGATCTATGTCTCAAGCTAGAGAAGTGTGTGGAATAGTTCCTTGTAAGTAGTTATTTGTAAGACTAACAGAGCGAGATAAGCAGAGGTGTGGCTGGATGACTGAGTGGGACTTTGCATTCAGATGAATATACCTAATGAAGCCAGTGAGGCCAGCCATGGCGGTTGATATATCCTTTTGCAGCTGCAGAACGATTAGTCGATTGATTTGAAAATTAATCAAACATTTTTCATGTAAAATCATTCCGTTGTTTCAGCTTCTCAAATCTGAGGACTTCTTCTTTTCCTTTTAATTATTTTGATTTATTAAAATGATTTAAAATTGTCAGCACTGGATACTTTTATTTTTTATACATTTTCCTGATTGTGCTTACATACTGTTACTCAAGTAGCATTTTCAATGCAGGACTTTTACTAGTGACAGAGTATTTTTAGGCATGTAGACATGGTCAAGACGACCTGCTGAAGTTCAAACTGAGCATCAGAATGGGGAAGAAAGGTGATTTAAGTGAATTAAGTGAAACTGAGGCTACAGTTCACACAGACTCACCAAAATTAGACAATAGAAGATTGGAAAAATGTTGCCTGGTCTGATGAGTCTGGATTTCTGCTGTGACATTCAGATGGTAGGGTCAGAATTTGGCGTAAACAACATGAAAGCATGGATCCATCCTGCCTTGTATCAACGGTTCAGGCTGCTGGTGGTGGTGGTGTAATGGTGTGGGGGATATTTTCTTGGCACACTTTGGGCCCCTTAGTACCAACTGAGCATGGTTTAAACACCACAGCCTACCTGAGTATTGTTGCTGACCGTGTCCATCCCTTAATGACCACAGTGTACCCATCTTCTGATGGCTACTTCCAGCAGGATAACGCACCATGTCACAAAGCTCAAATCATCTCAAACTGGTTTCTTGAACATGACGATGAGTTCACTGTACTCCAGTGGCCTCCATGGTTACCAGATCTCAGTAGAGCAATGGAAGATTTGCATCACAGCAAGAATGACACCAAGAATTAAAAGAGGGTCCAACCCAGTACTAGCAAGGTGTACCTAACAAAGTGGTAGGTGAGTGTATATAAACATGAGAAACATATGAATGTGTTTATAGACAGTCACAGGAAGTATTTGTTTCTATTGCTTCTGCTCATATTATCCACTAGATGGAGCTCTAGTGTCGTGTTTGAGGCTGTAGACGCTCACCTGGTAGCTGACAGCAGAGGTCAACCTGTGGCCACTCTCCCGTTTATTTCCTCCACAGGGAGACCCCATAGCATGACATCTAAAACTCCTACAGTTGAGGAAAATGTGTCCTGACACATAATCACTGTTGTCACTCAGTAGCTTTTAATAACTGTGTGATCCGAATATTCATCTGTAGCCTAACTGATGGTGGTGATTGCTGTTCCCTGGATGAGAAACTGGCTTTGTGTGTGTGTGTGTGTGTGTGTGTGTGTGTGTGTGTGTGTGTGTGTGCAGCTCTTAATGTGAATGAAAGGAAAAGGAGCTTAGTGAAAGTTTACTCAGCAAGACAGCTTCCAGCTTCTCATACACATTGTCTCCCTATTTATGTATATTACCTGTGTTGTCAGCATATTCAGCAGCCTTTGGATGTCCCTGTTCCTTATTTAAATGTATCTGATGTCAGCCTGTCTTCCCTATAATCTATTAATTGGTTATCTGGGTGCTTCTGACATTAAAACTGATATTTTCTGGGCTCCTCCCCGCTGTTATTTCGGCACTGTTTGACATGACCTCCACCCCCAGTGTTCATCAAAGCAGCCTCAGATTGTGATTCATCAGGTCTTAAATTGGTAAGACATCACCAAATCATAGCCATGTTTTTACCATCACCACTCCAGCATCCATTAAGGAAAACTTTGTACACAGGCTTCATGGTATCTAAAGGACTTTTATTTCATTATCAGTAACAAATCAAATCATTTCAATAGCATTAACTCTCCTCACTTTTCTCTTTTGCATTCGGAGGTGATGATAGTGAAGCTGAGAGAAGTGTGCTAGCTCAGCAAAACCCCATCAAAGTCAAATAACCATGATAAGA